TAGTAGTAGTAGTAGTAGTAGTAGTAGTAGTAGTAGTAGTAGTAGTAGTAGTAGTAGTAGTAGTAGTAGTAGTAGTAGTAGTAGTAGTAGTAGTAGTAGTAGTAGTAGTAGTAGTAGTAGTAGTAGTAGTAGTAGTAGTAGTAGTAGTAGTAGTAGTAGTAGTAGTAGTAGTAGTAGTAGTAGTAGTAGTAGTAGTAGTAGTAGTAGTAGTAGTAGTAGTAGTAGTAGTAGTAGTAGTAGTAGTAGTAGTAGTAGTAGTAGTAGTAGTAGTAGTAGTAGTAGTAGTAGTAGTAGTAGTAGTAGTAGTAGTAGTAGTAGTAGTAGTAGTAGTAGTAGTAGTAGTAGTAGTAGTAGTAGTAGTAGTAGTAGTAGTAGTAGTAGTAGTAGTAGTAGTAGTAGTAGTAGTAGTAGTAGTAGTAGTAGTAGTAGTAGTAGTAGTAGTAGTAGTAGTAGTAGTAGTAGTAGTAGTAGTAGTAGTAGTAGTAGTAGTAGTAGTAGTAGTAGTAGTAGTAGTAGTAGTAGTAGTAGTAGTAGTAGTAGTAGTAGTAGTAGTAGTAGTAGTAGTAGTAGTAGTAGTAGTAGTAGTAGTAGTAGTAGTAGTAGTAGTAGTAGTAGTAGTAGTAGTAGTAGTAGTAGTAGTAGTAGTAGTAGTAGTAGTAGTAGTAGTAGTAGTAGTAGTAGTAGTAGTAGTAGTAGTAGTAGTAGTAGTAGTAGTAGTAGTAGTAGTAGTAGTAGTAGTAGTAGTAGTAGTAGTAGTAGTAGTAGTAGTAGTAGTAGTAGTAGTAGTAGTAGTAGTAGTAGTAGTAGTAGTAGTAGTAGTAGTAGTAGTAGTAGTAGTAGTAGTAGTAGTAGTAGTAGTAGTAGTAGTAGTAGTAGTAGTAGTAGTAGTAGTAGTAGTAGTAGTAGTAGTAGTAGTAGTAGTAGTAGTAGTAGTAGTAGTAGTAGTAGTAGTAGTAGTAGTAGTAGTAGTAGTAGTAGTAGTAGTAGTAGTAGTAGTAGTAGTAGTAGTAGTAGTAGTAGTAGTAGTAGTAGTAGTAGTAGTAGTAGTAGTAGTAGTAGTAGTAGTAGTAGTAGTAGTAGTAGTAGTAGTAGTAGTAGTAGTAGTAGTAGTAGTAGTAGTAGTAGTAGTAGTAGTAGTAGTAGTAGTAGTAGTAGTAGTAGTAGTAGTAGTAGTAGTAGTAGTAGTAGTAGTAGTAGTAGTAGTAGTAGTAGTAGTAGTAGTAGTAGTAGTAGTAGTAGTAGTAGTAGTAGTAGTAGTAGTAGTAGTAGTAGTAGTAGTAGTAGTAGTAGTAGTAGTAGTAGTAGTAGTAGTAGTAGTAGTAGTAGTAGTAGTAGTAGTAGTAGTAGTAGTAGTAGTAGTAGTAGTAGTAGTAGTAGTAGTAGTAGTAGTAGTAGTAGTAGTAGTAGTAGTAGTAGTAGTAGTAGTAGTAGTAGTAGTAGTAGTAGTAGTAGTAGTAGTAGTAGTAGTAGTAGTAGTAGTAGTAGTAGTAGTAGTAGTAGTAGTAGTAGTAGTAGTAGTAGTAGTAGTAGTAGTAGTAGTAGTAGTAGTAGTAGTAGTAGTAGTAGTAGTAGTAGTAGTAGTAGTAGTAGTAGTAGTAGTAGTAGTAGTAGTAGTAGTAGTAGTAGTAGTAGTAGTAGTAGTAGTAGTAGTAGTAGTAGTAGTAGTAGTAGTAGTAGTAGTAGTAGTAGTAGTAGTAGTAGTAGTAGTAGTAGTAGTAGTAGTAGTAGTAGTAGTAGTAGTAGTAGTAGTAGTAGTAGTAGTAGTAGTAGTAGTAGTAGTAGTAGTAGTAGTAGTAGTAGTAGTAGTAGTAGTAGTAGTAGTAGTAGTAGTAGTAGTAGTAGTAGTAGTAGTAGTAGTAGTAGTAGTAGTAGTAGTAGTAGTAGTAGTAGTAGTAGTAGTAGTAGTAGTAGTAGTAGTAGTAGTAGTAGTAGTAGTAGTAGTAGTAGTAGTAGTAGTAGTAGTGTGTGTGTGTGTGTGTGTTCGTGTGTGATTTCGTGTGTGTGTGTGTGTGTGTGTGTGTGTTCGTGTGTGATTTCGTGTGTGTGTGTGTGTGTGTGTGTGTGGTGTGTCGTTCTGTGGATGGTTTTGATCAACAGAAGTCTGTAAGGGGCCGTCCGTAAATATCGATGTTTTTTTAGAGACGATATTGGTGTGTCTGGGGGGGAGGGGGTTTGAGCCATGTGCGTCTTTTCGAGCATCAGAAAAATATCGATGTAAATATCTGAAGTTTCGCCGATCCCTGCACGCGGACGTCTAAATGGCTATACAAGAAATGTGAAACCAGCTTCCGTTCGCGGAGCTAAAACTCGCGACACAAGAACAAAATCAAAAATAGGAAGCTGTACGCCAATGGCGAATTTCAAGAGCAAAAGAATGAGCTATTGATTGTGGAAATCGGCCGAACGATGCCTGCAGGAGACCTTTTTCATGACGTAGAGGCAGTGCGAACAAACACGGACGAACTCCACAACATCCTGGGCACTTCAAGACCTACCTGCAGATGGTCTTGGATGGCACTTTGCTCTTGGCAAAGGCTGCACCGGCAGACCAGTTTATCCATCGCCAAGCTGGCAGAGACGCTGAGAATGGTACAATGGAGCGATGCGAGCACTGCAAGTATGTCTTCTTGTCAGCGGCTGATAAGCTTCGCCACAACCGCCTGAGTCATAGCAGTGAAGGCACTACATCCAGGCAGCAAAAGGAGCATGTGTGCTCGTATTTGGATGGTGCTTCTACTTGTGGCTTAGCCTTCACCACCTACTATGGGCTAATGCAGCACAAGAAGGCTGCTGGCCACAAGTGTTCTCGAGGGCGACCAAAAAAGTCATAATGCTCTCCTTCTAGACCATATAAATACTGCAAACTTGCCATCTTGGGTTCATATTATTCACAAAAAAAGGAAAAAAATGAGCATCCAAAAATATTGATTCCATGATCTAGATGTACATGTGCGTCTTCTGGGGGGAGGGGGGGGGGTCAAGGGAGAGAAGCACCAATATCGTCTCTAAAAAAACATCGATATTTACGGACGGCCCCTAAATATTGAGTTGATTAAACCTGCTGTTGAATCTAATGTGTTGTCGTGTGAGTCTGGTTCTGTGCCTGAATAGCCAGTGCAGTGTGATCTCGATATTCTTACTTTGTAGCTGAGTCCAGGCTCATTGGAATACTTAGCCGAATTCTCCGACGAGCTCTAGTTCCCTAGCTTCTCTAAGAATTCTCATTACAGACTCCTTTCTAGTTTCGAAGATATTTATATTCTTGTGTATCTGTTCTCAAACAAATTCCTCGTCTTGTGCATGTGTTCTCAAACACATTCCTCATAGTATTTGCAGTGGTCTCGCGCTCTTTGATTTGTTTGATTCGCGCATGACTTTCCCTTCTTTTCTTTTGTCATGTTAGCATCCCCCACCTCACAACAGAGCAACCGAGTTTTGGATTAAGCTGGGAGTGCCGATTTGAGCAACTGGTACGATGGTTCTGCTTGGAGCAGCTAGATGGCTCGCAGCTGAGCCAGCAAATGACTCCTCTTGGAGCAGGTGAATGACTCCGCATGGAGCTGGGAAATGACTCCGCATGGAACCGGCGAATGACTCCGCATGGAGCCGGCGAATGACTCCGCATGGAGCCGCCAAATGAGTCCACATGGAGCCGCCAATGACTCCGCTTGGAGCCGCCGAATGACTCCGCATGGAGCCGCCGAATGACTCCGCATGGAGCCGCCAATGACTCCGCATGGAGCCGCCAATGACTCTGAGTAGAGCCGCCAAGTGCTAAATGTATAGAGATGCATAACCAGTTGAGAGCATTATATTCTCATGGACTATACAGATACCGTCATATGTGCGCCAGAAACATGAGTTGAGCTAGTGGGTGGGAGGGTGGGAAGGAAATTGTTTGGGAACACATGTTCCGCAAGTTGCACGCTCGAAATTCCAAACAGCTATGACATGCAAGAGACATTGTACAGGATTTTGAAGGGGGCGTTGCGTCGTGACTCGCGCATGCGTGCAGGTTGGGCCAGCTTCAAAAGATTTTGTGCGGGCTTTGGAATGTCGATCTACACCCCACCCCAAAGCAAACCTACCTGCAAAATTTGAGCGAAATCTGAGAGATCGACTTGCACATATGTTCTGGTTTTCTCAGACATGCTCTCTTAAATATTTTTTAAAGTTCTTGCATGTGCATGACTGCTTACTTTCACTTTCCTTTTATGTGGTGCCATCCATGCATCGTCAACATATTTGTTTGCTTCTAGCTCATGCTAGGTTTTACACTTCATTTCTCACATCAAATCGTCTGCCATACGGTAAATTGGGAAGTTTAGCTCTGCTCCTCCTAACCGGCATTGGCGTCATTTGTTCCCGCTCATTACAAGTCATCTATGGCTCCTCATTAGCCAGCTGCTATCCATTGCTTGGTATTTCACTTCACAACTATTGTAAGTGCATTGCGGGGATTTCCAAGATAGTTGGATGCAGCAATGTGGCATTGCTTTCAAGCTTGTTGAACATTTGCATTACAATACAAGTTACTCAAAGCAGCACACTATCTCCCCAAAAGGTCTTTATTGTCTGTGATAAGTTCGAAGGCATGAGGGATAGCGTAAGAACTTCACATAAAAGAAGCCTCAAAAATACGTCCAACCCTCTGCTGCCAACAAGAGGCAATTCAAAAGCACAGCACGGATGCCTGCAATGAACAAAAAACTGGTGCAGCATTGGCATACCCGAGTGTTCTCCCCATGTGGGTTGGTAGATTGGTTTTGTTCAGGACAAGAAAGTACGCCACTGGAAATTGAACCAAACATGTTTGGATGAGACTTCTTCATGCAGATTTACACAAACCACCATTATTGTACGGGTTACGCACAAAGACATGACTGATTGTGCTGTTCAACTATCTTACTTGCCACTGGAAGTGTAACATTGTGCAAGTGTACAAAATACCAAAGAATTCCAATCTAGTAGCCGGTTGCTTTACAGAACCATGATAGTGTTCAGTGCTATTTCACATGAAAACATACACCAAATCTCATCAAGACACTGGACTTATACGTATTTTTGAGGTGACGCAAGGAACTCAATAGTGTTGTCTAGGCTGTTGAAGATAGTGAAAACTGTTGTTCTCCTTTGAAAATGTTTCCCAATTGTGCATGTATTATTGTGCGTACAAGAAATGAACATGAGACATGGTACACATGCACCGGACCGGACTATGTACAACCGTAAAATCTTTCTTTTCTGTTCATACACTAACAAGGATGCACCAGGGATATCCTGACTTACATTATCCTTTGAGTCCAACGAATGTCCAGAATTAAGTAGATGTTCTGCTACGGAAACATGACCATGCTTTGCTGCAATGTGTAATGGTGTTCTACCATACTAGAAGTAGCATTGTTAATGAATACAAACCAAGTACACACAAACACACATAAACATACACAAATACACACATACACATGACGATTCACAAACACATAAAAATATGCATGAACGCACACACACACATGCACACGCACACACACCCACACACACCCACACACACACACACACACACACACATGCACACATAGACACACACACACATACATACACACACAACCATGCATGTGCGAAAACACACACACACACAAACAAACAAACACAGTTATGGAGTAAGGTAACACCGACAATGGCATAGGGATTTCTGGATCATTATCAATGAAGATTTCTTTGGGAATTAATGAACAATTTCTTTGGAGACAAGAATACAATTTTCACTAGTATACTTTCATGCCTGATCATAAGGTGAAATACAGGCAAAATGCAATGAACATGGCATGACTCATGTTGTGTGTGATTGTGTGCGCTTGTGCATGTTCATGAATGTTGAGCACACACACGCAGGCGTACACATGTGTGTGCGCGCATGAGAGCATGCCGTTTACTTTGCATATGCATGCTACTGCAGGTGTGCGTATGTGACGTATTTGTGTGGGCAAGGGGTACTTGTTTGTGAGTGTGATTATTTCTCTCTCTCTCTCTCTTTCTGTCTCTCTCTCTCTCTTTCTCGCTCTCTCTCTCTCTCACTCTCTCTCTCTCTATTACTTTCTTGATATCAAGCGTATTTACTATTGATCACTACATATCAATTCTTGTTGAGCTTTGTATTATTTATCTGCGCTCTGCTCGTGACGTCCATCCATTTTCCAGTATTATGTTTCTAGTATTGTTGTGAGTGCACACGATGACGTAGGTCGCCATTTTGTCCATGTGATCTTGGTGCGCGAGCCATGATCTTTTTTCTCTTGCTCTTTTAGTTTTAGTTCTTCTTGTGCAAAAGCAAGTAATTGGTCCAATGTCGAGTGGGATGTGAGTGTTGGCAAAGTATTTCCTTTTGTCCATGGCAGGCAAGGACCTGAAGGTGTATGAATGCCTTGATAGGATCCGGGCACTGCGAACAGCAACCAACACTAGAGTTGGTGCAGTGTCCGCAGCTGCCACATTTGTGCAAGACAGTGTTGCCACGCCATGACCGCAGCTTTGCTACCATTGTGGAGAACCGGGCCACTTCAAAAGACATCGCCCGAAGTTATCCCTAGCAGGGAATGGTACAAAACAAGAGCACCGGCGCAAGGACCTGTTCTGCCACTTCTGTGACAAGAAAGGGCATGTCAAGAAGGACTGCGTGCTGAGACAAAAGTGGCTGGATACACATGGTAGCTGCTAAGTTAATGGGGCCTCAGTCTACTCCAAGGGCGTGTGCCTCCTGGTATCTGCATCATCATCGTGCTGGTCCTAACGCGAGTGATAGTGAGCGTGCTGCAGCAGTGATAGACACTGGCTCCAGCCGCACGTTAGTAACAGAAGCCCTGCTGCATTGCCTTGGTCTCGATGTGACGCCACTGACGAATAGTGACAGTATTGTAGCGCTGGATGGCAACACCATGCAGACGTGTGGTACAGTGACCCTCACGTTTTGGAGGCATGACGGACCAGTGAGTATACATGAAGTGGTCTTGAATGCTGTCGTTGTGCCTGATCTGTATGTAGTGGCCGCCGGCGTACTGATTGGCATTGACCTGGTGACTTTGTGTGGGCGCCTGTCTGTAGAGCATGCGAATGATCAGCTTGTGCGCGTCGTAATTCGGCCCGGTCCAGCCCCCGCAGATAGTAGCCCGCCAGTGCAATTCGCATCAGCAGCTGTGGCGCCTCCTGAACAGTCTACATGATTGCTATTGTAGGAGGATCAGCTGACTGACGGTATGGCCCCTAGTGCTAACAACGAAGTTCTCCAGCCAGTCGCCGATGACTCACCAATGCCTGTAGCTCCGACACGCCCGCATTCAAAGCTGTCTCATCATGTCCAAGTAGAGAGTGACAACAACGATGTCATCCTAAAGGTTGACGACGGCGAGATGCATTGGATGTCGGCAGAGAAGCTTTGGGAGGTTACATGGGTATAGAAGTCTGGTGAAGAACCAAATGGCTGTGATGGTCCGGGTATCAGCGAGTACCCGCGGAAGAAGATTACCGCAGAAGAGGAGACACAGTTCTTCTCTGCTGTGGAGGAGTGGATTGAGCGAGGCTGGCTGGTGAAGCGCGCCGCTGACACCCATGGTCGCCCAGTCTGTGTCTTGTCGTTGATTGCTGTGAGTCAGCCGCACAAGACGTCTACGCCTGTGCGTCCGGTGTTAGACTATCGGCACTTGTACAAGTTGTTAGTGTCCCACCCTGGAGCTAAGTTACCTGTGTGCGCACGTGCGTGAGTGTGTGTGTGTGTTTGTGTGTGTGTGTGTGTGTGTGTTTTTTTTACAAATATTCACAAACCCAACTCGTAAAATCAAAAATTATGTGGACAAAAACAAACAGCTACTGAGCAGGGGCTGCACTGGGCAGCAGTGATGGTGAGGTACCAGTGGCTCCACCGACCAAAGGTCTCGGCTTCAATGCCACAAGCACGCACCAGGAAAAAGAAACAGAAATGTAAAGCAAAGCTAGATCTAGCTATGGGGAAGTAGAATGGGTAAAAGTACCGGTAGGTGTTTAGAAAAATAAAAACAAGATGAAAAGAGAGGTTCTAAGTTCGTAAGATGAAAAGAGATTGTAAATATTATCAGTGTTTGGACTGATGTACAATGTGCATGTACATGTCAACTTCATCAACCAAAAGTTATGAACTTTTTCATTAGATCTGATCATGATGATGATGATGATTATGATGATGATGATGATGATGATGATGTGTGTGTGTGTGTGTGTGTGTGTGTGTGTGTGTGTGTGTGTGTGTGTGTGTGTGTGTTGAAGTAGCATTACGGTGATAATGCAGATTAATGGGTGCACGCAGCTTTGTGCCACCGCTCAATCTATGCTGCTGGGTTTAATAGTGCTGGTACTGCATGCTCATGATTTGCTGCTGGCTATAGTCTCTGTGCGGCTTGGCACTCTGCATGATATTGAATGCATCTCTCTACCTGACCTTGAACGTGTCTCTGACATTGAACGTGTTGATGCGTGTCGTTCGCCTCCGATGTGGAAAGCGTGTGGCGGCGCTATTATGACGTTTGCTTGTAGCGCTCAACGTGGGTGGCATGCATCGTTGCATGTCTTGCTAGAGTTTACTCTGCTAGATATTTCGATCCGTTCTGTGCGACGATTATTCTTGCTTGCTCGTAGTGTTTCACCCTAACACCTCCCATTTCTCACCTCTAATTTGCTTTGATAAAGTGAATAAACGGGGTGTTGGCCACGCTCACTTCCGGCTACTCAGGGCCCTCGGTCGTCGTCCCTCGGATTCAGACACTTGTAGATACTTAGCTGCGCCAACATTCTGCTTCGGCAGTGTCTACACGGCCGACTCTGAATCTTCTCTCGTAGATACTTGGCTCCGCCAACATTCTGCTCCGGCAGTGTCTACGTATTTGTTCCTGTAGCCTCTCACTCCGCTGGCCGGCACTCCCCCGTACCGCAAGTTGCTGTGTGTTGTAGTTAATGTGTGTGTGTGTGTGTGTGTGTGTGTGTGTGTGTGTGTGTGCGTGGCCATTTCTTGGCAACTGTCGATAGTAGTAGTAGTAGTAGTAGTAGTAGTAGTAGTAGTAGTAGTAGTAGTAGTAGTGTGTGTGTGTGTGTGTGTTCGTGTGTGTGTTCGTGTGTGTGTGTGTGTGTGTGTGTGTGTGTGTGTGTGTGTGTGTGTGTGTGTGTGTGTGTGTGTGGTGTGTGTGGTGTGTCGTTCTGTGGATGGTTTTGATCAACAGAAGTCTGTAAATATTGAGTTGATTAAACCTGCTGTTGAATCTAATGTGTTGTCGTGTGAGTCTGGTTCTGTGCCTGAATCGCCAGTGCAGTGTGATCTCGATATTCTTACTTTGTAGCTGAGTCCAGGCTCATTGGAATACTTAGCCGAATTCTCCGCCGGGCTCTAGTTCCCTAGCTTCTCTAAGAATTCTCATTACAGACTCCTTTCTAGTTTCGAAGATATTTATATTCTTGTGTATCTGTTCTCAAACAAATTCCTCGTCTTGTGCATGTGTTCTCAAACACATTCCTCATAGTATTTGCAGTGGTCTCGCGCTCTTTGATTTGTTTGACTCGCGCATGACTTTCCCTTCTTTTCTTTTGTCATGTTAGCATCCCCCACCTCACAACAGAGCAACCGAGTTTTGGATTAAGCTGGGAGTGCCGATTCGAGCAACTGGTACGATGGTTCTGCTTGGAGCAGCTAGATGGCTCGCAGCTGAGCCAGCAAATGACTCCTCTTGGAGCAGGTGAATGACTCCGCATGGAGCCGGGAAATGACTCCGCATGGAGCCGGCGAATGACTCCGCATGGAGCCGCCAAATGAGTCCACATGGAGCCGCCAATAACTCCGCTTGGAGCCGCCGAATGACTCCGCATGGAGCCGCCAATGACTCCGCATGGAGCCGCCAATGACTCTGAGTAGAGCCGCCAAGTGCTAAATATATAGAGATGCATAACCAGTTGAGAGCATATATTCTCATGGACTATACAGATACCGTCATATGTGCGCCAGAAACATGAGTTGAGCTAGTGGGTGGGAGGGTGGGAAGGAAATTGTTTGGGAACACATGTTCCGCAAGTTGCACGCTCGAAAGTCCAAACAGCTATGACATGCAAGAGACATTGTACAGGATTTTGAAGGGGGCGTGCCGTCGTGACTCGCGCATGCGTGCAGGTTGGGCCAGCTTGCTGGACTGGCTGCAAACTCGTGTTAGCATGCTAACGCTCATTTAGCATCCCCCCACCTCACAACAGAGTAACCGAGTTTTGGATTAAGCTGGGAGTGCCGATTCGAGCAACTGGCATGATGGCTCTGCTTGGAGCAGCTAGATGGCTCGCAGCTGAGCTAGCAAATGACTCCGCTTGGAGCAGGCGATTACGCCATA